TATGAGTACACACACATTTTACAGTATCGGTATCGGTGCATCCCTAGTCCCAGAAGAGTTAATGAAATCCAAGTCGAAAATGATGACTACTGGCGCAAGCTGCACTTTGAAATCACTTCAGTGGGTCACGCAGCTATCAACTTTTGTAACCTTGCATGTTTTGCCATTGCTGCAAAAGCAAGTATGAACTGATGTGACTGTGCGATCATGACATTGTGAATATAGATCCAATCAAGAACACTTATTCTATACTGGAATTTCTGTCGTTATTATCTGTGATTAAGGTAAATCACAAAATCTCATGCACATGTGCCAACTGGAAGGCAGCCTGTTTCAGTTATTACCTTTTTTTCTCCATTCTTTAAACTTTTGTTCTTAGTTTTTTGTCTTTTACTTATTAGTAGCGTGTTAGTGTGTTTCAAATTGTTTTCTCTCAAACATGTGGGTTGAGAACGTTTTTTTTCACCTTATCGCCGTGGACTGGGGGTATGCATTTTGGAGGACTATAAATACCTTGGACTAAGCACAGATAATAAACCGGACTGGGTAAACAACACGTGGATTGTGACCCAATGGTATCAGACAGGGTGGGATTTTGTCTCCAATTTTAATTAATTTATATGTTGATGATTTCTCCATATAGCTGAGAGCCTGTAACACTGGGCGTATATTAGGTAAAACATGGATAAATCATCTTATGTATGCAGATGACCTGGTTGTTTTTAGTCCCAGTAGTGCTGGATTACAGGAGCTTAATATCTGTACTGAATATGGTCTGCATTATGATATAAAGTACAATGCTATTAAAAGTGCTATTTTGATATGTAGAACCTGTGTTTAACTGTCCCAAAATACTATTGGGGTTCATAAAAAGGTGAAATACCTTGGTGACTTTATTGTTGATCAAATGAATGATGATGATGACATATACAGACAACGATGCAAGCTCTATTTGCAGGGAAATACTATTGCACGCAAATTCAGCTTTTGTTCAGTTCCAGTTAAAGGGACTTTGTTCAAAGCGTGTTGCAATTCCAAGCTAAATAAAAGTGTGTTAATATTTTTTAAATGGCCTCAACAGTATTTAGAGTTAAACCAGGACTACCAGATGTTGCCAAACTTGTCAAGTGCCTCCACTAGGTCACCTTCCACCACAGCATCGCAAAGTCCTCGAACATGGACAACTGGAGATGGGGGGATGCGACGACTGTCATCCAAACAATCCTGTAGAGAAAATAAAAATGAACTCAGATGTTTTCTTAATTTTACTTTGCACAAAGAAAATGTTTGC